CCACCCTCTTCTGGGCTCTTGTCTCCTTAACCTGACCCCCTTTCCCTTGGACCCCTTCCAATACTTCCTTACTCAGCCCGGGAATCAGAGTCCTGGGAAATCCTGCGCAAGAGGAACCTGCAGTTTGGTGGGTGTTGGCTTCTTTCTACTGGTGACAAACAGCCATCCTGAGGACTGTGATACAAGGAGTGGACAGCCCAGAAAATAAAGTTCAAGTGTGTAGGCATGCGTGGGAAGGGCTGGAAGCAGGAAAAAAGCTTTTGGAGGGCAGTGATGACTTAACACGCAGAAGTTTGGGAAATAATGATTCTGAGAAGCCCTTGCTAATGAAGAGTCTGAGAACAGGGAATCTGGTAAAGGGCCAGAGCTCCAGGTGACTTGTCAGAGAACTACCTATTGTGGCAAAGCGGAGAAGTCCCTAGGAGAATCTTACCTGCTCCTCTTAGAACCTGCTAAGCTCTGCCACAGTGTGGCAGAGAAAAGTGAGAGCAGAACAAGCAGCAGAGACTGACAAGGAGATGGCCTTAAAAGACTAAGACAAGCTGTAGGCAAAGCCAGATGGAATGATTGCCTTTGGTTTTGCCAAAAACTCTCATCTTGTTCCAGGAAGCTGAGTGCCCACAACACAATGACTCTGGGAATTTTTGTCCCAAGATGCATCTTCCTGGAAAAATAGACTTGCCTGCATGCAATTAGGTTGGCCACACCATTCACTTCCCTCCCAATCACTTCATTTCCATGTTCTAGGGAGACACACAGCACTCCTAAGAGGCCCTGGGGACAAGGCAGTGAGATTCAGCTTTAGAGACCTCAAGTCTGTCTCTAGCTAGGTCTGTGCTTGGGGAGAGGAGAGTCAACAAGAGAAGGACAATTATTCCATATCTGGGGTAAGTTAAAAGTTCTAAAATTGTTGGGTGCCAGTGGCTCAGGCCTGTAACCCTAGCTACTCAAGAGGCTGAGATATTAGGATCATGGTTCAAAGCCAGGCTAGGCAGGAAAGTTTATGAGACTCTTATCTCCAATTAACCACCAAAAACTAAGAAGTAGAACTATGGCTCAAGTGGTAGAGTGTTAGCCTCAAGAAACAAACAAACAAAAGAATGAAAGAAAGAAAGAAGAAAAGAAAGAGAGAAAAAGAAAAAAAGGAAGGAGGGAAGGAAGGAAGAAGGAAAGGAAGGAAGGAAAAGTTCTAAAATAATTCTGAGCTAGGCGGCTGGGAAGGTAGCTCAGTGGTAGAGCGCTTGCCTTGCATGCCTGAGGCTCTGGGTTCGATTCCTCAGCACCACATAAGCAAAAAGAAAAAAGCCGGAAGTGGCGCTGTGGCTCAAGTGGTAGAGCGCTAGCCTTGAGCTCAAGAGCTGAGGGACAGCACCCAGGCCCTGAGTTCAGGCCCCATGACCGGACCCAAAAAAAAAAAAAAATTCTGAGCTAAACTTGTAGCAAAGGTAGTGTGAGGAGGAAAACAGCTTTTCTCTAGGGCCAGAAAGGAAGCAAGAGGGGTGGGGAACCTGTGACCACTGGCTGGGTATGCTTGCTATGGGTATTGCTCAGGACAGATTTGAGGAGGAAAGTCCATGAGACTCTTATCTCCAATAAACTACCAGAACAGGCCGGAAGTGGTGCTATGGCTCAAGTGGTAGAAGGCTCACCTGAGCTGAAGGATAGCACCCAGGCCCAGAGTTTAAGCTCCCCCAACCCCCCACCCCCGTCCCCCACAAAAAGAAAAAAGCTGACCCTCACAGGACCATGGCAGCCCTCAGAGCCTCAGTGTAAGAGCCATTCTTGCCAGGGGGCGCATTACCCAGAGCTTTCCTTACTGCCAGCCCTGCTGTAGAAATGCCAGCCAGGAGCAATGGCCTGTGTGCAGCTACCTAGAGGAGTCATCTGCCCAGAGTATCAAAGACAACTGTTCCACACAGGATTTTAGAGGGACTCAGAGAGTAACCAAATGCCTACCTGGAACCATGGGCGAAGGGGGCAAGTGGGCTTGGTGAGTGGAACCAATGCTAGCCTAGAGGTCCACAAGCCTCAGGGTACAAAGGGCACCCTTCAGGTGGGATCCACAGGCTGAGCATCTGAGTATAGATTAGACTGCTCTTCTCAGACCTTCATATGACTTCCTCTCCGTTGTTCGTCTGTCTCAGCTCAGCTGCACCCCTGAGGCCTTCTCTGGCTCCCCAATCCAACATAGCTCATGTCTTCCCATCGTTTTGTTTTTGGAGACAGGGTCTCACTCTTATCCCTAGCTGACCTGGAACTTGCCATCTTCTTACCTCTGCCTCCTGAGGGCTGGGATTACAGGCATGTGCCACCATGTCCAGTTATTTCCTACCACCTTATTTTCTTCACAGCATTTTGCTGCTTATTTATGGTATGTCCCAAATTGCAGTGGAGGATGGGGCTTTGTTTTCTTCACTTGGGGTAACTTCAAAAATACTTGTGGAATAGATGGATGGATGGTTGGGCCTAAGCAGGCCCAAACCCTTAAGTACTGATTAGGCAGTTGTAAACCACTAGCTGGCTCAGCTTTTCTCCTCTCCTCATCTTGAGGAATATAGCCCTTAAATTTTTAATTCTAGCATTTAAAAATAGCTTTATTGTTTTCTTTTCAATTACTAAAACAACATGAGTTCACAGCTGAAATTTAAATATTATAAAAAGGAATGACTTAGCAAGCAAAAGCCTCTTCAATCCCACATCTTAGAGAAAGCCACTTTTAATGTCTATAGTAGATCCCATTAAATAACTGTAAAAGAATTCAATCCATGCACCATTGAAAGGCAAAGCACTCATCACAACACCAAACTAACAGCCACCATCATTTCCTCTGTACAATCCCTCCTCATGTATGAGCTTCACAGTTCTCACAACATGCTTGTTCTCTATAACTGCCATTTTTACTTAGAACTTTTTCAAAGTTGTAATAGAGCCTGCGTGCTCATTATCAAAATGACTATGTGATATTCTACCAAGTTGAAAACTGTAATTAGCCAAGATACTCAAACGAAACCATTATTTCCCATTTCCACCATTCCACTATTAGAGATGACACCCCAGAAATTCCTTGTATTTCTGCAAGAGCCATTTGCTTTTGGGGGACTATTTCCTAATGAAAGATTTCTATTTTTTTTTTCATTTTTAGACAGTACATCATTATGTAGCACAGGCTGACCTCAAAATTACCATCTGCTTGCCTGAGCTTCCCCAAGTGCTGAGATTACAGGTACTTACCACACCACTCCTGGCCCTATTGAAATATTTTTAATGAGTTAGTTCAGGTGTGGAATCACTAGATCAAGGTGTACAACAGTCTTAAGGACAATGCTGTAGATTTCTCAAAGGACTTCCGTCACTGGGGGGGGGGGGGGGGGTCCGCGGGAGGGGGGGGAGGGAATAGACCTTACATCTGAGTCACTACATTCCATTCCCTTAATGGCCTCATGGCTGACTCCCTACTCCCAATTCCCCTCAAGTCCATGCTGGTTCATACCACTCAGGCTACAAATATACACAAGAGGACTGTTTGAAAGACCTGTTAATCACAACCTAGTCTTGAAAGCCCAAAGCTGAGCGTGAAAAAGCTTCTACTCCTGAGCTGCAAACACGTATCTGGAGAGTCAAGATCTGCCCACAGCTGAGAAATAACCCAGTGACCCCTTTTCCATCTCCCCGCAGGCTCCTGCACAGAGGCTCTGGGCTCCCATGGACCAGCCCACAAGCTCCCAAAAGCCTGTCCGCATAAGACCACCAAAGCACTAGCTCTGTTTTCCCTACCTTGCAAGGAGCTCTTTTCCTACTGGTCTTAGACCCCACTGTTGGACTGTCTGCTCTGTACAGACATAATAGCCTTCAGGCCAGATGGACTTTGTTGGGGCTTGGGACTACAGCGAATTGTTATTTTTTTTAAGCACTAAGGAAAAGTTAGAGAGACTAGGAAGGTGGATCAGTGGTTGAGTGCTTGCCTTGCATACATGAGGCCCTGGGTTCGAAAAGCAGAAAAAGCCGGAAGTGGCGCTGTGGCTCAAGTGGTAGAGCACTAGCCTTGAGCTGAAGAGCTGAGGGATAGCGTCCAGACCCTGAGTTCAGGCCCCACGACTGACAAGAAAGAAAGAAAGAAAGAGAGAGAGAGAGAGAAAAGAAACAAAACGTTTGGGGTGGGGGTGGGGTGGAGGAGAAGAAGGGCCAGATGAAGACAGAAATGGTTCTTTGGTCAGAGGTCTTTCACCCTACATGGGGTTTCTCTGGTTTTAGGAAGAGGTGCTGCTGAAGAGCAAAAGGACTTGCTCCTCCTGGCTTCCTGAGCGGTCATTTTCATTTTATTTTTTGCAGTTCTGGAGTTTGGACTTAAGGCCTCTTTCTTGTTAGACAGGTGCTGTACCACCTGTACCACAGCCCTTGTGCAGACGCCATCTTTTTGGCAGTGTGGGGGTCACATTTTTGGTAGCTAAGTTTACTCCACAAATTCCCTTCTCTAGGAGGGACCCTAGATGTACTACTCAAGGTCTCTTGTACTGTACTATAAGAACTGCTCATGGCAAAAGAAGCTCAGGGACAGTACCCACGCCCCGAGTTCAAGCCCCAGGATTGGCAAATACAAAAAGAAAGAATTGCTTATGGCATTGGAAAGAATCTTCATTCAAGGATAGGCACACATCCCATTGCACAGAAGTAAAACCTGATACCTTAAGTCCACAAGAGCCTATTGATAAGAAAGAATGCAGGAATGGCCTCTCCCAGGTGCTAGTGCCTGGCTTCACTTATGTCAGCCAGTCTGGGTCTGACCCAGTTTTTAGATGTCAGGTGGCTGCAAGATGGCTCCAACAGTGACATGGCCTGAAATGTTCCATTCTGCCTAGCCGTTCTAGAACTGTAGCCACATGACAAGCCCTTGGACAGACTCAGAACTGAAATCCCTGGACTCATGCCATTTCAGATGCGACACTGGATAGACAAACAGACAGGGGCATTTTTTTCATGTTTTGGTGCCAAAACATACTCACTTATCTCAGCCTTGAGTGAGTGGTTCAGAACTGACATCAGGATCACTGTGTAGGCGAGCTCTGGCTTAACCTTTGTCTTGGTGCCACACCAGGGATCAGCAATGTGGGCAAGTATCAGCCCCAGGGCTCAGCTGATCCTTGGCTTCCATGTGCCCCTGGGAACAAAAGAAGAGGCCTTTGTAAACTTAATCTTCCCCAGCCCTGAGCCACTACACCAGCCAGAGATTCAGGTGCAAGGCCCAGCGTTCTGTAGCAGCCCACCAGTTCCCTTCCTCTCCTGGAACCTGCCATCTTGTCTCTGCTGTCCTGTCTGCTCATGACTGGTGATAATCACGCCATGAGAGCCTGAGCTGGTTCTTGGCCAGTCCACACATGGGGTCAGGACTTAGGACCTCTTGTGTCATGAGTGAATGAGTGTGTACACACTTGTAAACCTGAGACAGAATATAATTTTAAAATCTAGCTTCATTCTTAGCTTCAAATGACACTCACTTTTACCTCGCAGTGGGCACATCTGTTATCAAGGGCAATTGAGAACCTCATAGAAGGCACACATTGTAGGACATCTGTTTTAGAATTTGGGGAATCAGATATAATCACGCACAGAAAAATAAAAGGCAAATAAAAGATGTGCTAAAACCCTTTACCTGCAATCCACCATCCTAATATTTATCTCTTTATATATATTTTTAACCATGATTATTGTTAAGGCCCTTACTATTTATATTAACAACTGGCTCTAAACTGATATAAATCTTACTGCATAGTTTTACTACATGCATGTTTTTAATAGTACCCCCAAGATTTGACCATTTGTTTTTGTTTTTGTTTTTTTTTTTTTTGGTGCAGGCCCTGGAATTTGAACTCAGGACCTGGGTAATGTCCCTGAGCATTTGTGCTCAAGGCCAGCTCTCTACCACTTGAACCACAGCTTCACTTAGGCTTTTTTGGTAGTTCATTAGAGAGGAGTCTCGTGGGTTTTCCTGCCCAGTCTGGCTCCAAACCACAAATCCTGGGGTCTCAGCCTCCTAAGTAGCCAAGATTACAGGCGTGAGCTACCAGTGCCCGCTGATTTAACCATTTGCTAGAGAGGTCAACATATTTTGTTGCATCGTGTACACAGATGCAGACTTCCCTTGGGAACCCCCTTGACACAGAGCTTGCACAAACCCAAGGAGAGGGCTCAGCCCAGCAAGGTGGCTTCAGTGAGAACAGTGTGTGGCTGATGACAGCCCCATCCCCCTCTCCACCTCCCCAAGAAGGGTAGGCCACAGAGGTGCCAGCTTGTGCCAATGCCCACATCCAGCTCCTTCCCTCTCCCTCCTCCAGACTTTTAACAGATACAAATCCTTTCTCTCCCTTTGTCCCCTAAGCTGATAACTTGCATGGGAGGAGAGCAAAGAAGTAAAAGGAAAAGGGTTCAGGACTTAATCTCACTATGTCAGGTAGATTTGGGGGTGCCCCTGGGCCTCCTCTTGGGGCCTCTGTACAGAGAAAAGTGAAAGTCAGGTATGAAGTGCAGTGGTGGCTGTGCTCGGCCTTGCCTGGCCCTGGCCCTCCCCAGCCCTTCCACAAACAGGAACCTCCAGCTCACCCCCACTGTACATCCTCCTCCCCTCTCCCAGTCTGCCAGATGAGGGGCAGGGGTCACCCTGGCACATACCTATCAGCTGGAAGAAAGGGCCTTAACAAAGTATGCCTGAGAACCTCTACAACCAGCACCACTGTGACACATGGCCTAAGATGTTTAGTCTTATTCATGAGCCCTTCCCCTTCCCCGGGGCCCTCAAAAGTCCACAGCAGAGCAGGAGACAAAACAGAAACGGAAACCAAAGACCACATCCTGCCAGTGGAATCTGGTGTCAGGCCTGGAAGCCTGCTGTTGACTGAACTGCTGTCTTGAAAGATGAAGGCACAGTGGTTAGAGCAGGTCCCTCCAGGAGCCACCCTCTGGCTGGATACCTGCTCTGCTTCCTGGTCTGCAAGCCTTTGCCCAAGGAGTGGATGAGATGCTAGTATAGCAGGATTTCCACCTCTTCCTGGAAGAGCACAAGCCATCCCTACCGCCCTCTGACTCTCCCTGTCCTTCTAGAGCAAGTGCCAGTGGACAGAGCTCACCAAGCTCCTGGTAGATTACAGGACCCCAGCTAAAGGTCTGTGGGGAATAGGAATGTGGGAAGGGTCCTTTAAGCAAGGAGCCTGTTGTGGAACTTGAGCTTTTCTAGTGCATCATCTCACGCTCAGCACTCACATTGGAGTGACAATAATATCTCCAAGACTTGATATTTGTTTGTGTTCCACTTTAGGAACAAAAACACAGGCTCAGGAGAGTAAGGGATCTGGCTAAGTACACACGTTCAATGCAGATCCTATTCCTCAGGTTCCATGTGCCTCTCTGGAGCCCTGTACAGAACCCCTTCAAAGTGTGCCCATAGGATATGGACCATGCTTCCACTCACCCATCTGAAAATCACTGCATGTGTCTGTCTCCCCACCATGTGATGAATTCCTGGAGGCCACAGAATTTCTGTTGAATGGGCAGATAAGCAGAGTAGACAGGGCCCAGCTAAATTCTTGAGTGATAACTACTCCTAGTAATGACTGGAATTAGTCTCTAATTTCTAAAGCATCATGGAAGAGCTGTCTCCCAGAAACATACTTACAATAACCAAGGCTGTCTCTGAAAATTCCATCACACTGGCTGAGGTGAAGAGAGATTGAGTAGACGGGTTGGGGGGAACATGAAAAAAAAACACACAGGGAGACCTGGAGGTGTGACTCAAGTAGCAGAGCACCCCAGACAGGCACCCTTGGGGCCATTTCAGGTTCCTAGATTGTCAGGAGTCCAGACTAGCTCAGACTGAAAAATAATAGTGCCTATTTTCTTATTTCTACAATGAGCAGGCAATCTCAAAAGGCACAGCCAGTTTTCACTCACAAGGATTGATTTCCCAAAGAGGTTTAACCAGCAGCTGCTGGCAGGAAATTCCTCTGTATCATTTTTTTCTCCTCTGTAACTATTTAGGGTAAGCTGGGCTTGCAGGATTCAGTCCAGTTCTCTGACCGGAACTTAAATCTTCCCCAGCCCCCATCTCCATGTCCTGAACCCAAGACTGGAGCCAGAATGGATACAGGCAAGCAAATACCATCCCATTTACCTTCCCATTCTCCTCTTCTCAAACCTCCCAGAAAAAGATAAAGCACTCTCCTTCACAACACAGAATCTTTCTCAAATGTATGGGACTTCCCACATACTTCCACCCAGTAGCTCTCCAAGAAGACAGCTGCTTATTCCAGAATTCATCATGACGGATGCTCCCACCACAAGATAATGCCAGATGCTTGCTTTTGAGGGCTCAGTCCCATAATACTGCCCCTCCAGATGCCAATCACAAGCAGTAACAAGTTATCACGTGTATTTCTGATAGGCTGAGTGCAAATCAGTTCCCAAGACCCCTATTTGATCCCTACTTGGTTGTCTGGTTCCTGGGACAACCATATGAAAGAAATGAATGTAGAAAAATACAGGGACAGGATTTACACTTGGCTACCTCCCAGTACCTCTATGTTCAGTCACTGGGAGCACAGCAAATATTGATGTCCAAGAGTTCATATCCTTAGAGGTGGGTAGATGGGGCTAGATGGTCCAACCCTCTAATCTCATCCTTTGGTCTTTTGGTGTACAGCCCAGGCCAGGCTAGTTGAGGGTTCCAACATAAGGGCTTTATTCGTAAAAACTCAGGTGCCACCAAAAGTTCCCATTATCAATAACACAGGAGTCTTTGACAAGAACCTGGACAAATAACAACTAGATCTCTTATAATATATGCTTCCTTATCCAGGTGCCCACAAAGTAAAGAGAAAATTCCCAAAGACCCATTAGGGAGCCCTCTGGTTCCTCCAAGCCCTTAGTTCTTCTCAGATAACCCAGAGCAATTGCTTTTACTCATCCTGGTAGTAAAACCAACCCTGAAGACTAATGGAATTGGCAACTTCGCAAACCACAAAGTGACCACGCACAGCTGCAAATGCAATTGGTCTTTCAGTCCTCCAAAGGACAAGTGGTATTTGGCCCCTTAGAAGCAAGGAAGAGATAGGGAAGTGGGTAGAAATGGCAGTTGGGGTCCCACTGTACTTGTCCTTGTCCATCTACTTGGTCCCCTCACTCTAGGATTGGACCATGGATTTCCCTGCCTACTCTACACCATACCTGTCTTCTCCTTTATTTGGAGGCCACCTTGTCTATCAACCTTCCTCTCCTTCCTTCTTCCTCCCCATCTAGTTTATTGTACCTTACCTGCTTCTTCCAAGTCCCTCTCTGAGCAAACCCTGAAGGGCCAACTCCTATACCTGGGAGGTTGGTCACTGGCCTCTTTCCTTCCCCTACCTCATCCTCCTCCCTGGCACTGAATTGCTCCTGCTTGCTGTCTGATAGGCAGGACAGCTGCTAGGCTCTCTAATTAGCTGCCTGGCCACTTTCCCAGAGCTAGGCATGTGTTACAGTAAAGAGCTTCCTTCCCGCCCTTCAGCCATAATCCCCCATGCAGATCCCAGGGGGCTAGAAGCCTTGTCACATGAGGCCAGCAAACCTTCTCCTGTCAGCCAGAAAACAAGAGAGAACAGCCTCACACTCTCATTGACAACATGACCTGGAGTTTATCTGGGTTCTTCCTATGACTGTCCATGTCCTTTAGGAACAAGGACTTTGCCCTTTGTCACCTCATCAGAGCAGGCAGGAAGTCGGAGGGTCTTTTGGAGTATAAGGCTGGACTGGTCCACCAGTGGGTCACTAATGCTCTGCTTCTACAACTAAGCCACTCAGTTCAAGAACCTGTTATTCAAGGTATTGAGTTCCAGCAGTACTCGTAGAAGGACAGACACAGTACAAGGTGTGGATAAGACAGTACTTCTGCCCTGACCCTCCCCTCCCTCAGATTGATGGAAACATGATGAATGAGTAAACAATCTGTGAAGAAGGGAAAAGGCTAGGTTCTGGAAAGCTAGTCTTTCTCCCCTCCTTTCCTTCTTTTCTTTTCTTTCTCCATTGACTACTTAAACCCAGAGGCTCACAATTGCTAGGCAGTTGTTCCAGCCACTTGAGCCATGCTCCAAACCCTATTTGAAGGTTCTGCTAATTTTTCCCAGAGCTGACCTA